GCCAAGGATGGAGAATCTGAAGATGCTGCTGAAACGACTAAATCTGGAGGAAGACCTGAGCCCCTATGAACGGACCAGAGGTACGCGATGGACCAGAGGCTGCTGAAACGACTAAGTCTGGAAGAAGACCAGAGGCGATGAGAATGGACCAGAGGCGATGAAATGGTCCAGAGGCGATGAAAATGGTCCAGAGGCGATGAAGTGGTCCAGAGGCGATGAAAATGGACCAGAGGCGATGAAATGGTCCAGAGGCGATGAAAATGGACCAGATGCGATGAAAATGGACCAGAGGCGATGAAATGGTCCAAAGGCGATGAAATGGTCCAAAGGCGATGAAATGGTCAAGAGGCGATGAAAATGGACTAGAGGCGATGAAGTGGTCCAGAGGCGATGAAAATGGATTAGAGGCGATGAAATGGACCAGAGGCGATGAAGTGGTCCAGAGGCGATGCAAATGGACCAGAGGCGATGAAGTGGTCAAGAGGCGATGAAAATGGACCAGAGGCGANGTGGTCCAGAGGCGATGCAAATGGACCAGAGGCGATGAAGTGGTCAAGAGGCGATGAAAATGGACCAGAGGCGATGAAGTGGTCCAGAGGCGATGAAAATGGTCAACCCTTTGAAACACACAGATCTGGGCATAACATTGATTAACTTAAAATATGGGATATTAATTTCTAGAAAAAAACTTCGAAATATTCGTTCTATTTTAGTGATAAAACCACCCAAAACATAATTCCAACTCGGATATAACGGATTTTTACTTACAACCCGAATTATGTAGCAAAAGAATACGGGACATATATATAACCGGAACAAGACTATATATAAGCTATACTTACTACATCTATGAGATACCATAATAAGCTACCATTTACCCAAAAGCAAGATCGTAATCTTCAAGTTCCCCGATAATTTTCGAGTCAAACAACGGGTTCTTCCTTTTTATCCGCCTTCTTCCCTGAGAGAGGTTGCCACTTAAATGGTAAGCCAACGCTTAGTGAGTTAAATAGTTAAGTATTACATATCAATATCGCACATGTATATAAACATACATAATAAACTCTTATCAATAAAAGAGTTCAAAACATGATCCAAATGCAAACCGAGACTTACAAGAAACCGAGTGAACAATTACGTACCGGATGCTAAGATCATAGGATTCCATATTCAAATCACCATAATACACCATACCATTGATGCTCAATACAACAAGGAGACAGGATCAACAACCAAATATATTCAACAACGTTAGAATACCAATAAATATCAAGAACCAAGAGATCAAATCAGTAAACATAATGAGGACAGTGCATCACCCCGTCCTTCACCTCCCGGGATCATGCCAAAGTCCGAGTCAGAATCATACATTACGGGAAACCGCACACTGCCCGCCTTCCTCTACCGGGTATGTGCCAAGGTTCCCTACTCATTGTTCTTCATCCTCTTCGAGCAATGAGTATTCACAGCCACAGAAAGTCTCACCCGTCCAACCCGGGATCTTGACTTCGCCATAAGATTCCGGCATGCCACACGAAGTAGTACCCAGACTATGGCGTACAATTCAAGGAACAAAACAACGAGTCCGGATCCGGAAAGCAAACCGATGTACCGAGATAGTAATATGGAATAGACTCAAGAGACGGAATCAAAGACGAATCAAGATAGTGTGATTCAATTCAAGACCAAAAACATTCATATGATAGTATATAGGTTAAAATCAATATGTAACAATTAAATATATAACTCACCGGGCAACCGTATAATACCGAAAAGCTCCAAAATGAGCTTACAAAGCAAGTCCAAGCCACCACCCTTAGGTGGCTTCCAAAGCATCAAAATATGTCCTAATTACCCCCTAGAGTAAATGTACAAAATCTCATAAGCAACCAATATAAGAAACTCATGATTCACACATATCCTATATGAACACTTTATCTAAATTTCTATCTACAGTTGCGGCATGCAGAACCGTTTTGCCCATTTTAAACTCGAATTCATGCCTTGATCATAAATAAGAAATAAACTAGACTCAAATATCTAACTAAGAAAATTGGCCTCACCTCATTTGGATTTTTCTACGATTTTATACAGTTTTTCAAAATCTGCACATTTTCAATGCATTCTTAAGTCGAAATTCTCATTTTCATACATTTTTCTCAAACCATTTCGATTCCAAACTATTCCAACTTTTGAATCTCAACTTAATATAACATATTTGAAATAAACAACCAAAATCCAACATTTATTTTATCATTTATATTATCTCCCAAATCATTGACTTAATCAAGTCAAAGTTCATATGATGAACTTGCATAAATCTTGATAATCTCTTGAATCTAATGACCATTTCATGTCATAAACACTAAAATGTACTCATTTTATACACTTAAGATCAAACCCATATGAAACCCTAACTTTATCTCAACATGCAATCCATATAACAAGAATGTCAACCAAGAACAAGTGCAAAGAATGGATTATACCTTACTTGATGATCAAATCCTTCAAAGATCTTGTAGTTCTTATTTGATTTGAGTTAAATCAAGCCTATGTGTGTGAAAATCGCACCTCTAGTGTGTGTGTGAGTTCTGGACTCAAATGACAAGAAAAATAGACCAAAAATCCAATTTATAATGCTAAAACTCGAGTTGGGCCGGCTAGGTACCCATTTTGACCATCAACAATTAAATTATTCATAACTTTTCGCTCGGACCTCTGTTTTCTTTGAGGTTTTCGCCTACACGTTCATAAAGAGATAATATATAACATCCAACAACAATATTCCAGAAAAGATCTCCTAAGAAAATCAGTTTTACGTATCTTTTTGACGTAATTTTTTTTCAAATCCTCTAATATACTCCTAAGAATTATAATTCTAAAATTTCAAACCTAGACTCCTACTAAATCATAAGTTCTCTTTAACCCAATAATTAAATATACTAAGCAAATAATTGGACATATTAGAAATTGGATGTTACAGTCAAGCCTTGAGAGGACTTGTCCTTTGCTACAGTGAATAGTACGAAACCCTATTCATGAGCAGACATCCTTTCACAAAGTTGATGGGTAGTAGAGTCAACTAGTCGGTTCCGTACCGTAATATCTTTTAGAAAGGGTATGGGTTTGTCTTTTGTGTGTATAAGGACAAGACAAAAATAATCGTGCTCAACAAGCTTCTTTTGATCGCTGAATGTTGGAATAACCTGAAGGTCTCTTCAGCATTCGCTGAGGCTTGGACAGTCTTCACACATCTCTGATCGACCACACAAATGACCTCAGTGTGATACCCAAACACATATAAGATGCATTGTGATACCACTATGGTATCACCGGAGGACGGAGGTCGGAGGACGGAGAGAGGATAGAGGAGAGAAAATACCTAAAATGTCCTTGCATTGAAATTTTAATTCAAAATTACCAAAATTATAAATTTCATAATTTATCTATTGATTTGTGGTTGAGATTAGACCTCAAGGTTACCACAAAATAATTAGTTCTCATTTGATTAGGCCCCTATATATATTATATGGAAAATCATGTTCACCAAGAAAATGACCCGGTGTCGAGCAGAGCGAATGAAAAAAATTGAGAGATTTCAAGAAATGACATATTTATTCACTCTGGCTGACCAGCGATTACTAGCGATTCCGCTAGGGATGTTTAACGCTACTTTGTCAACTGGCGTTACAAACCGCTAATTATCTTTTGTTGAATATTTGCTAACTCGAAAAAAAATGCAAAATAAAAAAGTCATCTTATTCAAAACTCCAATTATAACTTGTACCTGGTTGTTTAAATCAAACCTCAGCATACCCGACCTACTCTAAGGGTACTTTAAAGATTTTGATATCTCCTCAACTGAAGGTGCACCTACTGTTAAGCACCCTTTTGTTGTGAGTCAATCTAAGATTAATAGGCAATACCATCGTTGCTAACTCTTGGGCTTGATTGCTAGAGTCGAACCTTTAACTCAATGCAGACAAGTCGATCACTTGAAAAAGTTAATGTTAGATCTTAAACACATAGATGAGCGGAATTATAGCTTCAGTGACGCAAGAAGAGTTGAGAAAGTCTTTTATAGTCACACAAAGTTACAAATCTTTGTATGATTTTAACTGAGGTTCACATGTAGGTCGAAGTAGCATTACAAAGAGATTTGAGCACTTGTCTTCCTATTGGTAGAACTATGAGTCTTGGAAATCAACTTAGTAGGATCAACAAGTTGTTAGTTGGAAAAAGTGGTGACTCTGTGGAAACATGTGGCAACTCTATGTGGAAGTACACTTTTGAGAGAAATTTACTTTTATATACATTTTTGTGGCAAATGTCTTTTACCATATCGTTACTATAAATGTGTTAAGAAAAACTTACACCCATACTCTTTTTATTTAAATGATTTGGTTTTACTTAATTATTAAAAGCACTAAACTCGTTCAAAGATATTTTCTTCTTCTAATTGAAATCATTTTATTCTCGACTTAGTACTCGACACTCTGAGTCCGATCCCTATGGATGCGATATTGGTGTTACTACCACTTTATTACTTGTATTGATCACAATACTCATTGTGCACTTGCCCGCCATTGTGGCAACACTATGACCAATTCTTTGAACCTACACGACTTTTGGTCCCATGTATATCTTTGAAATTTGAGTAAGACGAAGTTCTAATTAAAGACGTTTTTAGAGAAATTGTATGTTGAAAGAACGGTAAGACTGAAGATAATAAGAGCTATTTTGGTCTACCAAGATCATCCAATATATATATACAACTTTCTCCACACAACCTCGTACAATATATCAGAATAAAAGTATTGTCTTATTCGCAAGGACGAAAATAAAAATGAATTACAAACTATAAGGGTGAAAACCGGAATTTTAAAACCACAGGGACAAAATCCGAAGTTTTTAACAAACCCCACAGTACGAAAAACGTAATTTACTCTAGATTTAAAGATGATTTAATAATATCGGTGATTCTTACCCTCTCCCCTTGTTGGGAGCTCAGAATCTTGAGAGCAAACGATTAAACCAGTAATAACAACCATGTCCATTTGTTGTAGTAGCTACTCATCTTTCTACAACCACCATTTTCCTTTTTGTTACAACCCTAATTCCTTTTCAATTTCCACTTTACGCACCATTAAACCTATTAGGTTTGCCAAGTGCACGCCTTCTGATGATATCCATGAATTGTTAAAGGTATTCATTCTTATTCCTTAACTCAACCTTCTTCCTTGTTCTTTTCTTTCTCCACTTTTATTGAAGCTTGAATTTCTATAGCGTAATGCAATTTGGGGTAAGTTGTTCGATTGAGTCTTCGCTACTGGGATTATAATTGCTTGCAGAATCATGGTTAAATCTTGCACTTTTGTTCTTGTAGTAATGTGTAATTGGGATTACAAAGTTAGAAAGCATTCCGTTTGTCCTGCAATTGAAGTCTGCTTGTGAATATTGATATTCAAACTTCAAATTGGAACATTAGCATGGATATTTTTAGAATTTTAGTGCCAGTTGCTCCTTTGTAATACCATCTTAGGTAATTTAATGTAGATACCAATTGTTTTCTTGATTCCTTTACAACCAAAACTATTGATTTCATTTTTATTGAAGTGAAATAACTTTGACATCAAGAAGCCAATTACGTAAGTCTTTTATGGGATGGATGGAGTAATCGATTTAATATAACCACAAGTTGAATGTGGAATTTTACTTTTTGTGCATGAAAGTTATCATTTGATCTTTGAGATACATTGGAGGATGATTTGCATCTTAACAGCTTACCTGTAGCATATATCGGGATGCCTGTCTATTATAAGGAAATGACTACTAGCACAGATCCGCGATGGGGCTTGGCACACGATAATCGAAGGAGCATTGGTCTTCATGATTTATTTAATTATTAGATCAAAAGTGATTAAAGACATATGATAAGACAGCTAAAATGTATTGCAACCTCTGTTGAAAAACTTAATATTGGTAAGTTTTTAGGATGATATACAACTCACCCAACGCAAGGTACAAGCATATGTTGCATGGATTGAAAACAAATTGCAGCCACATATTATGGAGTTATCAACTTGCATGAATGATACATGGTGATCGAACGATTCAAACCAATTGAGAGTCACATGCAGCTACAACTCGGCAGCATGCATGCATGGCTACTTGATGCTTCTACTTGCCTCCTCAATTTGCCAACTTGACATGCTTGAGAAAAGGGGGCTGCCGCTCTTTTTTTTTTCTTATATATATGCATGCATGTGGAATCTAAATTCACCCATCTGACCACCAACAAAAGGATTTCTTTCCTTTTAGTTTTTCCTCTTGTCGATTTTTTGTTTTATATACATATATATATATATATAACTTTGTTTTGGGGAAACTTTGGATAGCTGATTCGTTGATCCTAGGATCTCGTAAACACGTTGTAATTGTTCCCAGTTGGTAATATATCAAGCTCTCTCTCTCTCTCTCTCTTTGGTGGACGTACACTATCACACCGATAGTGGAACCACGTTAAATTCTCGTGTTGTTATTTTGTGAACTTGTCATATACGTAGATTCTAACATGTTATTATCTATATTTGCCGTTGTTTATTTCTATAGAGTCATTGTGCAACATCTAGATCATTGTTATCCGCATTTGTTATCGGGTTTGTTTGTGTCCTTGGGCTTCTATTTGTTTTGGGACCTTAGAAATTATTTGCTAGCATTTGAGTTGTGACACATTTCCTAACAACCTGCATATAGAATGTCACCGCAGAACACATGCAAAAGTAAAGAAAAAGGAAAATGGGTGTTCCAAAATTAGAGTATGAACTGTGGTATATATGTAAACAGACTTTTTGCTCCCAACTTAACCAGAAAATGTTGATAGAGAACTTGTGCTAAACTGCTAATACCATGATGGTCGTTTAAATGTAGACTAGACGTGCCTTCTGATGACCAGGGGGAATGATAGGAAAATGAAAGAATATTATTTTTTTCATTTAGAATTTGGTTGCTTTAATATTTTAGTTATACATATGGTGGTTCCCCTCATGGTTTTTGTTCACTTCACATTAATTGTCTTTAAAGATCATATCTTTTCATTCTTCTTGAATTTCTATTTACTATATATGCTTTTCTCCCACTCTATGATGTTCGTGGTTCCTTTTGAAATCGATTGATATCAAATTTGATCTTTTCACTGATCATGTGGCAATGGCGGTAGCCTCTTTCCTTTTCTTCTTTTAATGCTGCAGTATATGGACTGTGTAATTTCTTGACCCAACTTTTAGATATGACCTTTTGTTTTCCAGATCCTTCCACATGATTTGCGCAACAATCTTGTGATGGAATCTAAAAGGGATCAACTGTTGGAGGTATTAATTATTGTTCATTTTGGATATTTTGCAGTTTGTTTTCAATTTTTCATAGTGATTCCAATGTTCTATATATCGTGTAAATAGTGTATAGGAGCACATTGACAGAATTGAAAATTAAGTTCTGCTATCTGACTACCAAATATTGTAAATGATTTCTTACTTATGCGGGTAGGTAATATTGGATCTAGGTCGATTGCCAGTGGCATGCTTCCTCGGTGATTCAGGTCGGAGGTATCTAAGAGACACTGAGGTAAATGTTTCTTGAGCTTAGTTGCCGGATAACGTCGTGCATCTTCATCCTTACTTTTAAGCATATGATAATAAAATCAGGAGTATTTAATGTTTTGAATTCAACTATTCTCGAAGGATGGACCAATGGACACTTGTGCAGTGAATTTCCTTAAGTTAATAGTGATTGATAAACAGATATCAATTGAAGAGCTAGAATATGCCCAAAATGCCCTTGGAGAAATTGGAGGGGATAATAGAGCTGGCATCGCTGGCACCCTGCACCGCATATCTGCAGTCAGAAGTAGAAAAGGTGTTGTAGTTGGCTTAACTTGCCGAGTTGGCAGGGCAGTTAGGGGTCACATTGACATGGTCCGAGATCTGCTTCAGTTCGGAGAAAGTATCCTGTTTATTGGAAGGTAAATAGTCACAACATGCGTTTCATGTTTTTTCAGTTACCATATAGGGAGGAACTTTGAAGTTCTCAAGAGCTAACCAAAAATTAATTTAATATGTAAATGCAAAAACTTCGTCCATAACTTGGGGCGTTTAGCTTGACGGAATGTTTTCGAGAGATTTGGATTTCGTGGAAGGATTTGGAATCTTTGGTGTGTTTGGTTTGTAGGATTTGGAACGGAATTGAAATTTTTATAGATAATTTATAAAAAAATGAAATTAGGTAAATTACATATTATTAATTGATTATTACAAAACAAATGTTTTCAACATATCTTTAAAATATTATTACAAAAGAATCCTATGTAATCCCATGAAATGCCAACTACCCTCATGGGATTTCTCAATCCAATGTTTGTGGGATTTCCTATGGAAATTACAATTTTCCTAAAGATTGCAAGGTTTCCCTTTTTGATGAACTTTGAAGATAGAATTACCATTTTACCCACAATAGTCAAGTATGGATGCTAATTGCTTTTGTTTGACAATCTCTTATTCATCATCAAAGTGTATTTTAGACAAACATCAACAGTCAAAACTAATACGTACATGTTGCAAGTTGCAAATTTTCATGGAAGAAAATCCATATATTACTTAATATTTAAAAAAAATCAGCAACCAAACAACCATTCAAATTGTTTAGCATATATAATGTATCATATATTAAGGTGCAAGTTTTCTTAGTGATGTTTAGCATCAAACAAGGGTGATTGTTTCTGAGACGATCATATTTTTCTACTAAAAGAGTTCCAATGATTCTTCTCCCTGATCTTGAGCCAGTCTTCGTCTTCTATTTTTCATCTTTATCTCCAAGTGTGGCCCCTCATCCATTAATCAATATGCATGATGGACGATTAGTTATTAATTATGTATATTACGGCAGACGTGTAGAACTTAAAAAAAAAAGGGAAAGAAAGGCATACAACCGGAGGCGAAGCTTGCGTACCTGCATGTCATAAGAAGTGGCTAAAAATCAAGTGAGACCCACAAAAAGAAAATGCTAAATGATCATAAGTGTATAGGACATTAGATTTTGGCAGAATTAGACATATGCATGTATATTTCTTATGTACCGTCTTAGTTAGCCTATTACTTTTGAAACTTTACAGGCCTGGTGTAGGGAAGACTACTGTTATGCGAGAGATATCTCGAGTTCTCTCAGATGAGCTACAGAAAAGAGTGGTAGGTGTGGCTTTGAGATTTCTGTTTCTGCGTTTGGTATGTTGGACAGAATGGGGCATGACAGAATAAAAACTTGTCATCCCATGTTTGGCATGACATTAGACTATACACAAATAGGTGGAACAAAAATTAGGGAGAGAGATTGATAAATTACTAAACTATCCATGTCAAATTAAAGCCCCAAAACTTTCATAATTCTTTCACCCAGCCTACCTTATTCTTGCCTGTCCAGTCCTGTCCTACCAAACGCGCCCCACAAAACCTTCTCCAAATACATTTTATTACCTTTCTGACGATATAGATAGGTGGTCGTTGACACCAGCAATGAAATAGGAGGCGGTGGGGATATACCGCACCCAGCAATAGGCAGTGCAAGAAGAATGCAGGTTTCAAAACCCTCTATGCAACACAAAGTCATGATTGAGGCAGTGGAAAATCACATGCCTCAAGTGATTATTGTTGATGAAATTAGCACTTGGGCTGAAGTTAAAGCTTGTAAATCAATAGCCAAGAGAGGAGTCATGCTTATCGGCAGTGCTCATGGTGAGCGGCTGGGAAACATAATAAAGAATCCTGTTCTCTCTGATTTGGTATGTTTCCTTCTGATTTCAGGCCTGCTTCATATTTGAACTTTTGAGCTTGCAGAAATCTTGTCAGCTTTTGAAGCCCCACATCGGCTAGACTTTGACCACTTCTCCTCATTATATGTTAGAACTCCCCTTATCTCCTCAATCGCTCTTGGAGATTTCATGGGGTTCCACATATTTTCACATCCGCCAATGGTGGTCCCATGTTGACTTCTTTAAGGGATGTTATATTTACAGAACCTGGTTTTGCATAAAATCATTTTATTATTTGTGCATCTTTTGGTCTTCTCTCTTTCTCATTATGGAGTTGGTTAACTGCTATCTAGCATTAAGGAATTGGTTATATTGTGTTCTCTCGCAACACTATATGTAGAATTTGTTCTCTTGATACCTATTTGAAATTGTATACAGGCTGGAGGAGTAGAAACTGTTACTTTAGGAGATCATGAAGCTCGAAAGAGAGATGGCAGGAAAAGTATTAGTGAGAGAAGTGGTCCTCCTACCTTCCCCTTTGTGATTGAAATGAGAGATAGACACCATTGGGTCGTACATAAGGTATTTTCTCAACCCTTCTCTCTCTCACTCACTCTCTCTATATATATATATATATATGGGGAAAAATCGAGAACCTAGAGAAAGAATGCAGTTTTCATCCAAACCGTTGATCGAGATGATCCAATGAATGTGGTTCAAGAGGTGGTTATAACCACCTTTTTAAAAAATAAAAATATATCCCCTTCTTTTTAAATCTAAAATTGGCAAAATATAATGAAAATTGGAGCGAAACAAATTACACTAGAAAACGATAATTTTATTATCTTTGATTTGACATCTATTATGATATATTTTTTCATGGTTATTTGGTTCTTTTTTTTAGGTTTCTCGTGATCTCACTCCTATATATATGTATATATAAAGTAAACTACATTTTTCATCCTTGTTGTTTGTCGAAAATTGCTTTTTTCCATCCCCGTGGTTTCGAAACTTCGGTTTTCGTCACTGTGGTTTGCAATTCGTTGTTGTTGTGGTTCCTCTGACTAACTTTGTAATAAAAGTCCATCAAGTCAGGGGCAATTTGGTCTTCTTCCCTTTAATCAAGTTTTCTATTAAAAAAATTAGTAATGGTATTTTATATTATATATTGTTTTATATTTTTCATTTTATATTATTTTAACCAGAAACACCCCATCTCGGGTGAAAGATGGTAACTTCCCTCCCCCATCTCTGGTTAACCGATGTCCCTCTTCTAGATCCTGTCCCCATCGATTCAAACAGAACAGAAAATTAAAGTGAAATTACCAATTTGATTCGAACAACCAACTTGACATCCAAATCGATGAACAAGAGAGAACTCTGTTTTCCAAAGTACAATCTCAGTATCCGGATTCGAACACCCAAATCAATGCTTCACAAACAGAGAACTCAAAAGAACAGAAAATCAAGCTAAGGGGCCGTTTACCAAACGCTTACCCGGTATGCACTTACTACATGTGACATCACCCTCACGTACCTTACCGTGTAACATTTTTGGCCATCAAAATGGATTGTTGGTAAGTGTCTAAAACCCAATAAGCGCTTACTAGGTAAGAGTCTTCTCCCTCATATACTGATACAACCTTTTTCGAGATGGTTAGTCTCCGTAGAAATTGAGCAAAGGGAAGGAACGTTTTGGGGCCAAATTTCTTTCCATTGATTAATCAAAACAAAGCTTTAAATAAAAGGAACAAGAACTGGGCTTGAGGAAACCATTATCACCACTATCTCACTAAGCACTACCTAGCTAAGTTTTAGGATATAGGAAAACAATTACTGCTGTCTAGTTCAATTACAAACTGGAACTCCTTACCCAAGGCAGGGCCTTAATCTTGGTATCAGGTCAGCTGAATAATATTTCTCTTAGGCCTGGTTATCGACCCAGTGGTCTTGGATTAAACATCCGGTATTTGTGGCTTTATGCTGGCCTAAACGAGACTCAGTTCAGCCTCTCTTTCCGTATGAGCACTCCCTGATGGAACCGCAGCCTTGTCCACAAGGCTAGAAGTCGGAGCCGGCAAACTACCGGATAGAAGATCACTGTCTTTCCAGGTAGCTTTGGCCAGATCACACCCCTCCTAATGGACTAAAAACTGAGCAATCGGACGCCCCTAATGGTGAATAACTCACTCGTCCAAAACCGACATCGGCCGAATAATAGGACGCCCTTTATTGCAGTGAAGTGAGGTGGTAAGGTGATGAATGCGCATACTTGGTTAGGCGGTCCACTATAACCCAAATGGCTGTTTTGCCATTCGAAGTCAGAAGGCTCATGTTGAAATCCATGGATAGGTCGTCCTACACCTGACCAGGCATTGGCAAAGGCTGTTACAACCCATAAGGCTTGTGAGTTGGGTATTTGACCTGTTGACAGACATACTGAGCAGGAACGAATGAACTATGGCACATCGTGGCACATAGTTGTCCAATAAAACAAAGCAGACAACCTTCTAAAGGTGGCGTGGATACCGGAATGGCCCTCAGTGGGAGTAGAGTGATGCTCATTGATAAGGGGTCATTGGAACTCAGGCTGTAGGGGAATCATAATCGGACTGCAAAAGTACACGAGGCCATCAACTACTCGGTGATTAGGAAACGCGGTTGGGTCGTACAGAATCTGCTGTTGAAAGGCTGATCCCTTGGCTCAGTGTGGAAATATTGACATACCTCGACTAACCATGGAAAAATGGGTTGTGAAATAGCCATCAAAACTGCCTTCCTCTCCGGCTAAGTGCATCGCAACACGGTTTTCGTGTCCGGGCTTATAGAAGATCTCATAATCGTAACCGAAAAGTTTAGATGCCCACTTTTGTTGCTCGGGGGATCTGAATGACCTGCATAAGAAATGATGCAAACTTTTTTGGTTAGTAATGATGCGAAACGGTTGGCCAAGTAGGTATTACCGCCATTTCTTGATGGCTTCCATTATTGCATAGAGCTCACGAATGAATGTGGAAGCAACCTGCATGCAAGAACTCAGTTTCTTGCTAAAAAAATGCCACCGGGTGATCTGATTGAGAGAGGAGCGCATCGATGCCCGTGGCGGATGCATCCATGATAACGTCAAACCCTTGGGAAAAATCTGGAAGTGCAAGTATTGGTAGGGAAACCATGGCCTGTTTAAGCTGTTCAAAGGCCGTGGTGGCTCTAGGTTCCACTGAAACCGATTGGCTTGCAATAAATCAGTAAGGGGAGCGGCAATGGAAGCATAATTTTGCATGAAGCGTCAGTAGTACTCGGTAAGCCCAAGGAAACCAAGAAGACCCGTAACCGTTGTGGGTTGAGGCCACTCTAGAAAATGCTGAGATTTTTCACCGTCGACGGCCACACTGGCGGTTGAGATGATGTAACCCAAATGATGAACTCGATTGACCCCAAAGACGCATTTGGAGCGTTTTGTGGAGTACCGGTTGACTGCGTGGGTGTCAAAGACATGGGTGAGATGGCCGACGTGATCATCATGGGACCCGCTATAAATCAAATTGTCGTCAAAAAAGACCAATACAAAGCGATGTAGGCAATAGCGAAAGAGATCATTCATTGCGGCTTGAAATGTTGCCAGCGCGTTGGTCAAGCCGAAAGGCATAACCAAAAATTCATAATGACTGTCAATGGTTCAAAAAGTCGTTTTAGGGGTGTCCTCAGTGGTGACACGGATTTTATGATATCCGGCGTGGAGATCAAGTTTTGAGAAAAAACGAGCCCCGTGTAGCTGGTCGATAGTACCGATCGGGAAGAGATCGCGGATTGTAATGGCGTTTAAGCCGCGAAAGTCGGCGCAAAAACGCAAGACCCGTCTTTTTTTCGGATGAGTTATACCGGTGAGGAAAGGACTAGTACTAGGTTTAATGAGCCTGTCCCAGAGCATCAGATAAGCTCGGTCATTAACGATTTTTGGTAGTGAGGGTAACAATATGACCGCACATTAACAGGGTCAGAACCATGTTTCAAGGGTATATGATGGTCGTGAGGACGAGCCAGGGGTAAGGAAGAGGAAGGCGGCTCGAAGATGGAGGCGTATTTCTCCAACACTTGTTGAACGGTAGAAGATTGTGGGGTTGATGGCGAAGGGATTACGGAGTTGGTGAGGGGGAAATAGAAAAGAGATCAAACATCGATGATGCAGTGTCCTTTTGTAACATAGAAGAGAGGGTGCTCGAGTTGGTGGGGGTGGCTAAGGGTTCAGCAATGAGGCAAACCGGGATATTGTTGTGATGAAAAACGAAAGCTGCGGAACGGAGAAATCAACAACAATTGGGTCTAACAAGCGGAGCCAATCCATACCCAAGACGAGGTACCCTCAATAGGTAGGACGAAAAAGGAGAGACGAAACTCTATGTTGGCGAAGCGTATTCGAACATCGGAACAATTGTCAGTGCAGTGAATGAAGTTCCCATTACCCATCATGATGGGAAAGGAAGGAGTGTCAATCGAAGGTGAAGAGATGATGCAATGCGAACTTGAACGATGTTATGGATACTACCCTAGTCGATCAAAATGGAAACATGGGTCGATCAATGTAACCATGAGTACGAAGGGATTTGGGGGAAGAAAATCCCATGTAAGCGATAACGGACAAAGCTAAATATTCAGGCTCGAGGGGGGGGCGGTAGTGGTTGAGAAGGGTCGTTGTCCATGGAGGCTGGATCATGGTGCAATTGGAAGCTTGTGAGACAGAATTGAGGGGGTCAGGAACATCCAACACAATAGTGTCGGCTGTGGAGTTCAAGAGGAGAAATTGCGGGAATTACAACGATGATTTGGGTGGTACTTGTCGTTGCAACAAAAACAAAGGCCGACCGAGCACCGTTTTTGCATTTCGTCGGGAGTGAGTCGTTTGATTGGCAGGGGGAGAGAGGTTGACGGGAAGGGCCAGATAGCAATGCGGGTTCGATTGGGACAAACTGGAAGAGTGAGTGTCGGGGTTGGGCAAGAGGTGGGTCGTGGTCTCGGGGTAAGAATGGGATTGGCTAGCGAGGACTTTATCTTCGATAAGCTTTGCCAGACCGATGGCTTGGTTCAACGAACGAGGGTTGTGTAGGGATAATTCGACTTCAATATCCCGACGGAGCCCACAAATAGTTCAATGAGACATCGATAGAAAGACCAATGAGACAATTACTCAAGCACTCAAATTCTTGAAGATCTTTATAAACGATCTCCTACAGCTAGAGCTGCCTTGAAAAGCTGTATTTTGGAATTTAAAAAGAATGTTGGATGGTCTTTGCCCACGAGGTTTGTATAAGCTCCATTTCCTTTGGGAATTGTGTCTCATCCTTATCCACTGCTCCCCTATATAAAGAGGCCTTGGGTTCATTTGAAGATCATCCTTTTGAAGCACCACTAGTTGAAGTCTCTCTTCTCTTCTTCTCTTAAGTTAAGTTTAGCATTTAATTTTCTTGTATTAAGGTTGTAATTGTAATCTGTTGCCCACAGTCTCACCACACCACTGTGGCAACAGTCTTCAGTTCTATTTTAATGAAAGTTACATTTCAGTTTTATATCTTGTCTTATATTATGTT